TGAAAAATAAATTAAAATTTTTTTAATGTTTTTTTGTTTATAGAATGAATAAGCATGTATAAAAAATTAAATATGCCTCTGTTTGTGAAAATTTTAACATTACAAAGGAGTCTTGCAAATAGACTGAAACTTGCAAGAAATACAAAACAGGCCTATGTGCAAATGATTAGAATTTCTGGGTGATAAAATAAACTCTGAACTATTTTATTTGTAGCACAGGTAGAGTGCTGTAACAGGACAGTAAGAGTCTGTAAGTTTTTATTGTCTTCTAGCAGTAAATGTTTCATGAGAAGTTACAATGCCTCATCAGTGAGAAAAGATTCGATATAAATAGGTTACACCTTTTGAATGGGGCAAATGATGTCTGCAAGAATGAAGATTTTCATATCGTGAAAGAGTTTAATATCTTGTCGTTGATGCTTGTGTGGAAACAATAAGCTCAAGTGTGCCAGAGAAGTCACAAAACTGGCAGTGGACCACAAAATGATATATCAGCATAATCAAAAGTGTAGCCAGAGTTTTCAGTGCCCGAGGACAACTGCAGGTTTTGCCAAAATGCAGCGCAGAATATCACTTTGGCATCTTGCGCCTAAGGGCAGATATCCTCCCTAGCTCCGCTCAGGTACACCATTGCATGGGATGACAGTTAACTTGTCCACATGACAGTGATGGACAGCAGGTCTGTGGAGTTGGGAAATGACCGACTCCGACTCCCTCATGTATATTATATATATATAAACATATATGCATGTGTTACAGCTTATTTTATTAATATAAAAGAAGTAATAGATGCTAAACAGACAACAAAATGGATGGCATAGCAAATTATTTATATTAATTAGCATTTGTTATGAAATGGAAAAACTGGCATTAGTTATTTCTAAGAAACAGTATTGCTTCATCAAGATCTTCTTTGTTGGAGGACCATAGGTCTGATTTGATGAACTTAAAACCTAAAAAGCTGAGAAGAGTCATTCTACACTGACTTGAGTAGGACGAAGAGCTGTTACTGTTAAGGCTACCTCTTTTAACTTTTCAGGATAGGTTTTTACCAGTTTTAAAAGAGGTGTCTTGCAAGAGCAATCATATTTCTTCAAAGGCCATGTAAAAACCTTGTTTGTATTTTTTCATTTTTATATCTAAAGGCTCTTGGTTCTTTATTTTCATTTGCTTTACTTTAGCCTTTTCAATATTATCCAAAAATATTCCTCAAAATCTAGAAGACTCAGTTGCAATGTCTGCAGTTTGATAGTGCTGACTTGAATACTCCAATTGTTCTGAAAATAATTTTAGTCTTATTGAAAGTTTATTGATGGCTTTCTTTGCCTTCTTAATTTGTTCATCATTCAACAAAATTCGGTGTTCTGGGTCTACATATATTGAACCCAGCAAGATCTCATTGTCTAGCAAGCTAGTTTCTCTTTTCTTCATTGAAGAAATGATGCCTTCTGCAATAAACCCTCCATTTCAGAAAGAACAAACATCACATTCTTCCATTCTCACTTCCTGTTAATTCTTCAGTTTGTAGCATTTTTGTATCTATATAGTGTAGAAAGAAAATTTCCAATTCTGCAAGATCATTCCATAGTCTTTCTGGTTAGTGAAACATTAGGGTTATCTACATTTTCTAAAAAAGTTCTATATCACAGTCTAACAACCTCTATATCATCAAATACCGTATTTTTGGCCGTATAAGACGCACCCAATTTTAAAGGAGGCAAATCTAGAAAAAAAAAAAAAAAAGATTATGAACCAAATTCTGTAGTAAAATATTTTATATCAACTGTATAAAGTTAACAGCAGTTTAAGAAAAATTTTATGTCAACCATGTAACATACTAAGAGCTATCTTTAATCTCTTCATAAATCTATAGCACAACGATGGTGATCCGGGTGAAATCCTGAATGCCTTTCTCCACAGCAATGCGTTTGGCCTCATAGATTATCATTTTTGTTGAGACAGAAAGTCTATTTTGCCGGTGACGTGTGATCCACTCCTTTACTTCTACCTCTAACTCTGGCCACTTTGCAGTTGGTCCACGCAAGGTGTGCTTGCTTTTATATTTGCCGTATAAGACACAGGCACTTTTTTCCCCCTGATTTTGGGGAGAAAAAGTGCGTCTTATACGGCGAAAAATACGGTATGTATTGCTTGATCAATAATTGCTCTTTTTCCTGCTCGCTTCCTAAGAATAGTATCAATTTTGGGAATTCTTGTTGCTATGGCTGCTTACCTAAATTTATCAGCGAGATTTGAAAATGAACGAAGTAATTAAATGAATCAGTTTAATCACTAATGGCAAATATCACATCCATTCTCCTCCTTTATATGTATTTATTAATATATCAATAGAAAATAACTATTTATTAATGTATATCATTCATAAATAAAAATGATAATTCAGCTTGTCAGTAATTTTTTTTTCCTATTCACTTTAATTTCATTTCAAATTCAAATTGTCCAACAAAAACTGGAGTCAGAGTCAACCTGTTTTTAGCGATTCCAGCTCCGACTCCTTTTACCCCAAAATCTGCACTACTCTGATTCCGACTCCACAGCCCTCATGGACAGTACAGCTTTTATCTCGACACATGACGCAACACTGGAGTACTGCTACAGCTGTGCCATTTTCAGTTTTTACAGTTAGCTGTAGTGTGCTTGTATGCATTCCCTTGTGCAGAATTCTGAGGCAAAACCATCCATGTTTGTGGCTACAAGTTCATCAGTGTAATCACATATGTACCAGTTGGCAACAAGCTGTTTTTCTGATGAATTTCTCTTCATTTTGCAGTGCAATTATGATCTAGTATGCATTAGAGGCTAAAGTGTGAATTCCATTTTCCGGAGTGCATTATCTGGTGTCATACTGGCCATTTTCTTGAGTGCATTACATTACCTCATACTGGGTGCTATTTTCCCGAGTCTTGTTCACTGCCATTCTTTGGAATGGTCTGGTTTGTCGTTTTGTATGATGCGATCTTATTTCCTAAGAATCAAGAATACACCTTGTGCCCCCCCCAAAAAAAAAATTATACTGTTCTATATCTCCCATTCTACTTGTGTTTTCCACTTCTCAAAAGTGCAATTTAGTATATATATTAGATTTGTATGTAGTGTTGTCTAACTTACCTATTTTGATATTGGACCAATCTGATTATTTATTTTTTAAATATTTCCCTTCTACAACTCAAGTTGTAACCTAATTACCAAATTTTGTAAATTTTAATGAAAACTTTAAAGAGAAATTTGATAATTTAGCTTGCTCCACTTTTTTTACTTTGTGCCACGAGTACTTGGCAAACTACTCAGGCAATCATGTGCTGTCCCAGGGGGGCACTGAGAAACTAGCTAGCATTAAGCATATGCTTGGAATATTCGATTGCATGAACAATTTTTAAACAAATATTTTAAGCAGCTTTATGAGAATTATATGAAATCTTATCAGGCAAAGGTGCAAGTTCAGCTTTTTATTCTAAGGTAGCGCAAGTTACAAAGTACTTGTCTAAAATTCTGCAGTTGGTTTATAATGACTTTTTATGTCCTACAGGAAAAGGACAAAAGTATTGTTGCAATAAAAGCGATTTTAATATATTCTGATGAGTTTAGTGTTTTTAGTAATTATCATGGCAATGGAATAGTTGTTGTAGCAGTCATCAACTATATAAACATGAAGTCTGTATTTGCACATAGTATCCAGTAGAGGAACCAGAGCATGTTCCATGACAATCTGTGCATATTTTGTGAAATGTTTGTCATTTCTGTTATTGCTAATATAAAAATTTTAAGAAGTTTCTAATCATTATCTTTTTCCTGTATTGTATGAAGAGTTTTAATTAATAAATCAATACAGTGAATTACAGGTACTGGTATCTGTTATAGGCATATTGGTTGATGATGGGTCTTGCTAACAGCTCAGCTTCTGCCCCAGGTGGAATTCTGAGGGAGAACATCCCAAGGAAGTGCAGTTCGAGAGTCTGAGATTTCTCTTTCTCTACCACCAACCAGTTTAGAGGATTCTGGTTGGCTGTATATTTTGAGTGCCATCTTGCTGCACAGATACTATATGTTTACAAACATCCATGCCTTCTCCGGGATTCGAGCGCGGGCCTTTCAGTATGGCAGTCAGCATCACTAATCACTGTATAGGCTCCATAACTAACATTGTACTGTAGGATTTTTTGTAATATTTTGTAACAAGATATGTTGGGCAGTTAAAATGTTACATATTTGCTATCAGTTTTTGATTGACGGCACAATTTTTGATAACCTTTATAGCAATAATTATGATATGTTATCAGTTTTAAGACAAATTTTTAGCATATGACCCGGAAAATAATGTTTTTATTTGTTGAGTATGGTGTAACATTGTAATGAAATGCATTTCATTTTGTGTACTATGTACAATCATTTTGATGTGTTTAGGGGAATCAGCTTTCTAAATTTTGATATGCATGACGTGATTCTGTAATTTTAGTTATGATTCAATAAATACCATCAGAGCTGCTGGCCAGGCTTCTGGGCTGTGGCTGGCAGATAGTGAAAACTCCTGCTGAGTTGCCGTTCCAATTTTGCATGATCATTTTCTATACTGGGCTGGAAGCCATGTGAGTGGTTTATGTCATTAACCACTTTACCATCTAGGCAACACATTGGAAGTACAGTAAATGTCTAAAAGTTACAATTCATATTCAGTTAGTCAGTAAAAATGTTTTTTATATTTGACATTCACATGCTTATTGATAGACGAAAGAAAATCAAATGGGATATTTAAACTGTTAGATAGAACGTATGAATATTTGATAGGATATTGAAGATTTAAATAAAACATTTTTATTAAATTTATGGTCTATATTTATTCCAGATCTAAAAAAGAATTAGGTAACTCATATATATGTATGTACAAGGTGTCTCAGAATTCTTTTTCTGATTACAAATATTCATAAGGCACAAAATTTGACACAGAGATAAATACTTTTTATCTTGAACTCCATATAACATATTCATGTTTTTGTGTACACAATTAATAAATTTCTGTGTATGATTCTTTCGTTGCCCGAAGGATATCCAGGTGTTATTTTAGTTCCATCCATGTGCTGGTCAACATTACATGAGGGATGGATGTCTTTCACTGGTGTTTGGTAAACTTGGTCCTTGACATAACCCCAAGGGAAGAAATCCGGTGGTGTTATGTCCAGTGATCGCAGAGGCCAGTTTATGGGACCATCTCCCGGAAATGTTACATATAAATAAGCATGGACATCTAACCCCCAATGAGGTGGTGCACCGTCTTGTTGGAAAATTAAGTCCGGAATGCCCTGAATCTGGTGGCTCAGCAAATAACTGCAACATATCAGGATAGGTATTGGCTGTGGTAGTCTTTTTCACTGAAGACAAAAGGTCCTATGATTTTATTGTACATAGTGTTGCACCACATGTTCAGCTCAGAGCTGTGTCTGATGGTCTCAAACACACCTTGGTTATTCTAGCATTGTGTCAGATGACACCATCATTCAAATGAAATGTGGCCTCATCTGAGAAAAGGACATGTTTCAGATATCAGCAGATGGTCACATTCTGAGATAGCATGGCAACAGCAAAATCATAAGGAGCACTGTAATCCAACAAAGCAGCAGTAAATATGCACACTAAAACTTGAATATGTTATATGCTATTCAAGAGAAAAAGTATTTCTCTATGTGTCATATTTTGTGCTTTAATGAATATTTGTAATCATCCTTTTCACTCTTTATGTGTATAGCTGTTTGTCATTTTGATGAAAATACAGCTTAATTTGTTAAAATACTCGAATAATCTTCCGAGAAGCACAGCCTAAAAAATTTCTGATTGACGAAAATTCGGCACTCTTATGCAAAGTCCCCGTTTTTAGTAAAGGTGAAGAATTTTTTTTTTTTTTTTTTGAGATCCCTTGCTTAAATAATAAATCTCTGCGGTAGACCTGCATAAAGCATTCGTTGAAAGGAATACGTTCGGCACGATAGGCTGGTAGTTTCTTTCTCCTAATAATATAGAAATTAGATATGACGTGCCGCCATCTATCGGGAATAGTGTTATATATAAAATTTCATTGAAACATCTGCTTCATAATAGATTCTGATTAAAAAAATTGGTAATAGTACTTAGTCTTATACTTAGATATACGTGTCATGGGTAGACCAAAGCCATAAATTTAACCCTTCTGCACGTACACACATATGTATAAAGTCAAAAGGTTTTAGGTTATTTAAATTCAAATTTTCATCAAAACCCTATAGTTTCACTAGACAACTAATAACTGAGAGAATAAGCGTTCCACGCTTTAAAACTTATTTTGCTCAAATTGTATGTAGTGAATACCTGCCCTTCGAATTTTCCTAATTATGGTTTTACATCCAATTTATGATTTTGGAATACATTGCTTTGCTATGGAAGCTATTTTGGGACCTTACGTACAGCATTATTTCAAGAGTTTTTTTCTTTTCCCCATTTTGTTTTTGTGAAAGATAAACGCTGTTATGAGAGAATGCAGAATGATCAAGATCTTATAAAATCAGAACCTTTTTACACATGGAGCAGTAGTAATCCATGACATTTTTCATGTCATTGATATTCTTGCCTGATTACTCAATTGACAACAAAAATTGCATTTTTTTTTTTTTTTTCCTACAAATGAACTCCGGATAGGAATTTTGTAAGTATAATTACAAGGCTGTGCAAAATATACGCATTTTTACCTTAACGATTTTTTAATGCAAAATATGCATATGCGCGAACTAACGATCTTACATTTTAAAAGTGCGAAGACTACGATTTTTCATCATTTTACAGAAACATGTAAACATGCTTGGGCGTATAAATAACACTATGAAAATCATTGAATGGAACACATTTTTAAAAATTATTCAGTAGAATTCTGAATATTCTAGTGAGTATCGCAGCCAGTTTGAATGTCCGAAAGGTTTGGTATTGTGATTTTTCTGTAAGCCAGATATGTATGTACTATAAGAAGAAATTGTAGTTTTTCATTTATCGCACTTTATTAATTTACTAGCATTTCAGTAAAAAATTCAGTAATTAAAAAGCAATGTGTTTTTATTTCTATCAAGCGAAGCACATTGTACTGACAAACTAAAAAATGAAGTTATTTTCTTATTTACATTTTTCGTTTGTCCTTCGACTAATTTTAAAAAGAGTGAAATTATGTTTTATTGTCGTAAACCCTGAACACTTAGCACTTTTCTTTTCAGAATTTTGCGTAAAACTAAATACAAAACTTATTCAAATAAAAAATAGTAAAACACATATTACTAAACGTTTACATTATTAATATGTAACAAATGTGTTTTTTTGTACACAATGAAGGCAAGCTCTGCTACGAAAAAATTCCTTCCCACGCCGGGAATCGAACCCGGGCCTCCTGGGTGAGAGCCAGGTATCCTAACCACTAGACCACGTGGGACTTAATACAGTATGTTAGTAATATCTAAAAGAACCTCTAATTATAAAAAAATTCATTTTATGATTTTTTAAATTTCTCAAGTATTTGTTGACATTGTATACATGCGTTTACAGAAAATCTTGTTGTTCGGGTAATAAAAGCATACTATGTTTTGGGACTACAAAAAAGCAAATTAAAGCTCAGTAGTCACGTTTAACAGAGTCGTAGCTACGGTTTTCAGCGCCCAGGGACAACTGAAGATTTCGCGCCTCCCTTTTAACACTAGTGTGAACTTTGCTATTTTTAACAGTATCGAAAAAATTCACTCCAATTTAGATGGCTATTAATTTTGCAGATTAGTAAAGCTTTTACACTTGATTCAGCCAGTTTACCTCTTTCTTCAAACAATTTTTTTATGATACTGAATAATTGACAATATTCCTTTGATTGCTGCCAGTGTGTATCGCATGCTTGAAAATGTATACTATCATTTAAATGGCACTGTGCAATGTAATGTGTTTTCTTTTAAATGACTATGTATGCATTGTGATAAAGCAACGGTTCTTCACAATTTTTTTCAATTTCATTGACAATATCAGTTGCTTTTGTACTTTCCATAATCAACATAGCTTTGTTAAATAATGTGAGTTGCTCTTGTACAAACCATAAATAGTACATTTCAATACAATTTTTTATCATCTCTTCAAAACGCTCTTGTGAAATAAAATTTCAAGTGATTCTATCAAGATCTGGAAGTAGCGGAAGAAAAGGGGGTGTTGTTTATGTTGAAAAACTTTTTAGTCTACATATACAAATTCACAAAAATCTTTTAGTTTAGTGACTCAAATTTATAAATAATAATCACACTAAATATAAGACACAAGTAAACCGGTAAGTCAGGGCTAACTGTAGCGGTGACAATATTTAACGGGGAGGGCTGTGTGATCAACGAGGCAAGCGGCAGCACGATCGCTGCGCTCCGTAAAAAAGTGAAAATTTTTCCTTTCCTCTTGGTGATTATCAATTAAATTTCTTTGAAAAATGTTTATTTTTCCCCTACAAAACCTATATCATTCCAATGAATTTCGGCTCCGATGTTGACGAGAATTAAACACGCGGACAATGTAAGGATATACTCCAAAAGCCTGTAATTTTAAGATAAGTACCTTTCTTTCATCTAAACTAAATCAAATTTCTATAATAAGTGCCTTTAAATCAATAAATCTTAATTTTTTCATCAGTTTAAAGCATTAAAAAAAATACTTGAAATTGCCATTGCTTGTGGCTTCCTTTGTGTATCAACTCGAAACAGACGCCAGCGTTATCAGTTCACGTCTGTCAACACTTACAAAGCCCTTAAGGAATCTCGAGAGAGGGAAAATTTGGGGATGAGAGGGATAATTTGGGCATCGCGCTATTTTCCCTCTCGGATCTTCTGGATTCTCTTTTCTTTCTAGATCGCTTGAATATAGTTTCGCCTTTAAATAATACTATACCTCACCGATTTTTTCTCATACTGTTCTTTGCTATCTGTTAAATGTCCATATGTAAGGGATGGTTTTATTCTTCACCGCCTTAATGAATTTTTAGAACTATGACCTTATATAAATAACAGTGTGCCTCATTGTGTTTATATTAACATTATTTAACTAGTAATAAATTATGATAGTAAAATAATTAATCTTGTAATAAATTAATGACTGTTAAATTAATAAATACTTTTAATTTGTGTTTTTAATACATATACTCAGTAATTTACACACACACACACATATATATATATATATATATATTATTTTATTTATTATTTTTTTGGGTGTATGCGGTTGTGGTCTTGTATTGTATAATATGGTTCTATGTTGTTAGTCTTGCTGCTGTTTTTTTGAAAATGTGTGAAAATGTTGAGAATGAAAGTAGCATAATTTACTTTGGTTAAATTAATATATACTTTTGTTTGATGACCTTTGTTGATATCTCAGGATGCAAGCATACATATTACTTTATATTCCATGCTAAATACCTTAATACGAAGCATTTTAACACCGTCAATATTTGCTTTTTCCCCAGTAACACATCTATTCACCATTACCAAACACACTCACTACACACACACACCTGTGAGACATTATTTATTGTAAATGAAGACAGTTTCTTCTCCTTTTAACTACACTCATGGACATAATCGTATTTTAGGATATTTTCTACTTCTTTTCCTTTTCTTTCTAAAGGCCCCTTTTTTTTTTTCCTCTATTATTTTTGGGCCATTTATTTTAAATTTTATTTTGTCCCATCTTTTCTTTCTGGCCTTTTGAACTCGTACAAGATGTACGAAGTTCCTTTTTACTCTCCTCAAATACGAAATTGCCCCTCTTTCTATATACCTTTCCTTCGCACCTATGCTTGATTTTTCGCCCATCGGTGCAGAAAGACTTAGCGGGTGCAAAACAAGACATCTGTCTGTCTGTCTGTCAATATTTAACGGAACAATTTTAATCGCCAATCTTATGATACACCGCCAATAGTGTATAACAGATGCCAGCCTATTACGCTAGCGAATCATATCATTGCGCATGCGTGAAGCATTAGACCCACTCAGTTGGCCTTGGCCCCACAGAACGGGGACGCTGCTGTTAAGGCCTCGATAGGCCGCATACCTTTTACACGAATGATGATCTGTGACGCGCACAAACAACTCTAGTAAGCATAATAATAATTTTATTACCGGCCAGTAATCCTATATTTCAATACCTGGCCTCTCACCTTCTTATAAATCCAGGCGCGCAGTTCTCCCATATTTCCGAATCATGTAAAAAAATATTGCAATTTTGATAAATTAAAATGCATAGAAATGATATATATAATCAGAACAGTTTTTGAACTTTGGAATATATCAGAGAAAATACTT